TCTTCCGATCTCCCCAAAACCCCAAAACCCCAAAACCCCATGAATAAGAGATATTCCAATTTTAATTTAAAGATAAATACAGTTAATACTCAAATATAATAAATTATAAAGAAAAATAAAAATGTTTGAAACTAACTATAGGAATTCACTTCCAGGCTATACTGGCCACGTTCCAGGCAAAATCGAAAATGACATGCCTCCTGATAACAAAGAACCAAGAAAGCACATTCCAGGTATATTTTAACATTAGTAACTAAGTGGATCATAGGTTATGGTGGATACGTTCCAGGTGTTAAGAGTGAAAATGTTTTTGGATAGACCTATGGAAAAACCAGCTATCAATCAAGTGCTGGAGCCTTCCACAGAGGCATTGACGAGCCAGCTAACCTTAAATACTAATCACTATTCAAGGCTGAGTTTATCCAGCATGCTGATAAATAACACGAAACAACAGCTTAAATTGTTGGAGTTCAGAGACAATAAGATTCATATAAGAAAGTAAGAATATTCATTGAATTAACTTTTGTAACAGCCTATTCCCCCTGATACAGTTTATAAATTCTTCGGCGTTGACACCAAGCAAGGAGATGAAGTCGTCCAAAAGCAGCAATATGAGAAGAATAAGCAAGCTTTTTTCAATGTGCAAAAAGATTAAACTTTCTAGCAAACAAAGCCTTCTCAAAGCGAGGAAGATGCTTTGAAAGTATTCTATGGAGTTGAAGAACCCAAAAATCAAGCTCCAAGAAATGGAGATCCCATTCCAGGCTACAGTGGGGTAAACAGAAGAGTATAGGCTGACAACGTATTCGGTATGACTTATGCAGAGGCTAGAAGAAGAGCCCAAGAAAGCTAAAATAGAATAACTACTGAGAAAGGAGAGACTCTTAGATAAACATCGCAATTTGTGCCAGAATATAAGAGACCAAAACAAGACGATCTCTGGTATTGAAATCAGATAACTCGCAACTTAATCTCAGAAAGCATAATACTCAATATTCTCATAGCTTATATTTTTAAGTATTTAAAGTTCAAATTTCTTCTAAAATCTTTGAATTATAAGATCATGGGGTTTTGGGGTTTTGGGGTTTTGGGGTTTTGGGG